AATACGATCAATTGCATCTAGAAAAAAGATCCGAACGAGAATGACATTGATTAGGATAAAAATTTTTGATTGTTTTACCAATAGACATTTGATCAGGTGGTAAATCATGAGTTTTACTAAATTCCAACTAAGAAAAACAAAAAGGAAAAATGACAAAAAAAGGAGAAAATAAAGAAACAATTTACTTCATTTTGTTGAGCAAATCGAACAGATAATGTTTTTGGATTCGTTAATGGCCATCGACAACCATCAAGTGCTTCACGTGCATTTTGTGCCTCTTCTATTGTATGATACTAATTAAAAAGAAAACCAAAGTTGATAAAACTGATTTGATTATGAAAAAAAAATCTATTTACAGTAACTAAACATTGACTCTTTATTTTATCAAGCCAAAATTGACCATCTACTAATGTTCCATAACGGCGAAGAAGTTCTTTTAATTGTAGAAGACTAAATGGACGAGTGAGACCACGAATGTACAAAATTTGACTTAATGGTTCATTTACGGCAGTGACATTTTTTATTCGAACTGGTTCATCTGTGATTATAGCTGAAAACCAAATCATTTCCTTTTATTTACATTAAAAATAAATAAATTAACTTACAATTAGTTTTTCCATCAATTGATGTTGTTGATTCAAACGAAGGAAGATGTGTTGATGTCAAATTTTGTTTTTTTCTTGTACTAATATCATCGTTTAATGATAATGAATTAGTCTATAAAGAAAATGTTTATATTAATCAAATTAAATATGATTATCAAATAATATTTACAGTAATATTCATAACAACAGTTCGATTTGTTGGTTGTTTTTGATCTGCTAAATCTCCAATAGTCATTGAATCGCAAGAAAGAAAATCATTATTCATATTTGTTTCAAATACTTGTTCTTTTACTGATTGTTCATTAGTATTATTATCATTACTCTGTTCATTTATTAATCCATCAAGTTCATCATTAACAACAGATTCAGGCAATAGACTTATATCAGGAATAAGTGTCTAGTCAGATAAAACAAAAGAGCAACTAGGATTTTTCTCTCTCTTATGAGGCATAATTTTCAATTGATATCCTCTGTTTTTGCACATGAGTGAGGCTCATAATTTAAATGAAAATCCTAAAATGGTTCACATCTACTTACGAAAGAAGCGTTTCAAATGTTGAATCGTTTCTAAGGTCAACCTTTGTGCATAAGTTAAACACTAGTGAAATATGAAAACTTCAAAAGAATAAGCGCTATTCGGCCTTACATCTATAGTTATAGCCATTTTGCTAGGAGCTTCGTCTATACGATAGTGTGCACCAACAAATAAAATGATGGTGTTTCGATTAGAATTTTTCAGTTCAAAATAAGGTTTCCTTCACGAAATATTGAATTTCCAACCATCGCTCTTACCTTGTGAATGGTGTGAGAATTTCATGCTTTTTTGGAAACTCAACATCTGGTAAAAGAAATACTCCTGTGAACTGAAAATTTCAAGTCGAACTATCACCATTCGATTTGTTGGTATATATCGTCCTATAGGCTAAGATTCTAGTAAAAAAGCTATAACTCTTGATGCAATGTGAAAAGACACTTATCTTTTTGGATTTCATCGTGTTTCACTAGAGTCTACGTTATGCACAAAATTTGAACTCAAAAAACGATTTATCACTTGGAATGATTTCTTCGTTAAAGCTTACTTCTCAGCATATGAACACTTTTATAAATTTTTAGCAAACTATAGGATAGTACGAGAAAAGTCGCAATAAGAACTTGTTGTGTCGGAAATTTTCCGAGTAAAAAGCCTCATGAGATTTATTATGCATTGAAAGCTTTAGTTCAAACGGATGTGTTTTTTTTTAACATATGGAATACCTGAAGCAAGAACTATTTTGAGACAGCAGCATTTGCTTGTAAACTTGTTATTCCAAAAAAGTAGAATCCATTTGAACTGAAACTTTTTCTAATTAATAAGCACCATGAGTTTTTTCTTAGAAAAATTTCAAATGAAAAGTCTTTAATACGATTTTTTAATACTATTTTGCCATATACTGAAAATTAATCAAAGTAACTTTGACTGCAAAAGAGAGGTCTAAGCGGATGAACCTTTTCAGGGTTTTCATCTAAAGTATGAATCTTACTTGTGTGCAAAAACAGTAAGTAGCAGATGGAAGTGTTCTTCCCTTAAATAAGATAGAAATTTACTTTGAGAATTTCAGATGATAAATTGATTTTATTATTTGTTGATCGATGAAGACCTTTCATCAATGATGATGTTTGTGAACGATTTGTTTTAAGTTGTTCTTGTTGTTGAGAAGCAGCTTTTTTGACTGGTTTATGCATTGAAGATGATTCATCTTCTTCAATAAAAACGATACTATTATATATAATAGAGTCAATTCTAGCATAAACTCTATCGAAACGAAAGCTACTAATAATTATCATAACTCCTGTGGCAAAGGTCTTGACACAAAATATTCATTCATTTTGAGTCTCCTAAATCTAATTAATCGACATCAAATGTAATTAACTCAAATCATTACTTTGTGCTCTTTTTCGATATGTAATCAGAATATTTCTCTGATTTACAATTGATTAGAAATTCAACAAATGCTTCATACAGTCGAAAATGATATTTGTATAGAGCTTTATTTGATGTATTTTTGTGTTTTGACCAAATCCTATTCAATGCAAAACATGAATGATAGTTGCATTCACCAGTTTTGTAGAAAGAATTTTACTCTACAAATCTTGCTATCTACTTTGATTTACTCTCTCGAAGCCAAGGCACGAAATCTGTTGCATTCTAAACAGAAGATTTCGAAAAATTGATCTTTGATATAAATTTTACTATAAAAACCACGCAGTTCTACGACAAGTGGCTATAACCCTTTATTCATTTGAGTTCCGACTAAGTGTAATAGATGATTTTATAGACAACTGAACTCTATACAATTTATCGATTTAGACAGAGACAGAATCGGTCAGTCTAAGATCCATACCGATACTGAACTGACAAGTTGTCGTACTCTTCCATCTGTAGACAATGATATTTGATATAGTCAATTTTCAGCAATATTATTTCATACTTTCTATGAGATGCTAAGAGCAAAAGAATTAATTAGACGCACCCACCTATTGAGAAACAAAACCAGTCTACAATCAGTACTCGTAATCGGTGTCAATTCCATCTATGGATTTAGAACTACTTCAAAATACAATCCACACAAGCCATGAATAGTAGAGAAACGTGTAGTTTCTTCGTACAGATGTCATTTGTCGTTCTCTGTCAGTATTAATTTATACCTAATCAACCTTAAATCTAAGAGATATTCTAATATATGTAACAGATATGTAAATAACACAGCTTCTAACGAACTACTTTGTGCTCTTATTAGAAGCCTTTAGTGACTGAACGATGAAGAAAACTCATTTTCGACTCCAGCAAGTATTTCATTCATTCCTAATCAAATTTAATTAAAAGAAGAAGTCAGATCACATATTCGAAGAGAACACAAAATTCTCATTTTAGTTAAATACTTTTGATTTTACTAATTACATCCAGGTAACTACAAAGTGCATAAAAATTTCTGTTAAGACTTTTACAATAGGAATTACTAAACATCAAGTTCTTTGCATTAACATAAGATCAACGCTTTTATCTATTTCGTCTCATAAAGTTTGAACAGTTTTTTTCAAATATTCAAATCTGTAACGTAACTACTACTTATAGGTAAACGCTTTCATATACTCAATTCAATGATGTTGATCTACTTAAAATTGAGTATAGTGTTGATCAATAATAAAATATTTACCTTTTGTAGTCTCCTGTTGTTTTGTTGTGGCTGCTTTTAAATCGGCAGATAAAATAGCATCTGATGACTGATCCATCATCTTATTATTATTTCTTAAAATACAAATTAAAATATTGAAAAATTTATTTAAAAGTATTTACTTGGAGTCATCATTGGCATCATGTGTTGCCGAATTTTTTTCTTCATCAATCGTTACTGATTGATTATATTGTTGTTCTGCTTTCGATGGATTTAAACGCTGTTGTTCGTTGGACAACGGGGTTTCTTTAATAATAGACTCTGACTTGGCACTATTACTGCCAACAGATGGCAAATATGACTCTCCTCCTATTTTTTCTATATCTTTTTGTTCCTCCTCAATACTCTTACTCACAAACGATTTCACCTCTACATTGTTGTCATTGCTTGAAACTTCCAAAGCATTTTGTTCTGTGTCTATAACTTGTTGATTCGATGTTGTATTTGAATTTTCATTCGATGAGTAATCGACGGAAGATTTTTTGCTACTTGCTCGTGTTTTTCTCTTGGGTGTTGAAGAAACAAGTGAAGTATCATTTACTTTGGGAATATTTATCGATGAAAATTGTTCCTCTTCTATAGATGATGTTATATGTAATAGTTGAGGAATAGGTATTATTGGTGCAGAAGATGGATAATCATTTTGTGGTATTGATAATGTGTGTACAGATGGATGCTGAGCAGTAGCCTAAAAGAAAATTAGCATTAAAATTTCATTCTTTCTCATAAAGCTATTGTTGTACTTGATCATCAATCGTCAGTAAAGCTGCATGTATAACCGGTGTTTCAGTTTGCGGATGTTCAACTGAATGACTTAATGATGATTGTTCAAATTCTTTTTGTAAAGCAGCATGTAATTTAGCTATAAGATTTTTTTTATTTCCTGATGTCGAACAACCTCGTCGTTTAAGTTCAGCACGTAATTCGACATTTGTCATTGAATCAATATGTGTTAATCGGTCTTCTGCCATCATGTTATAAAACAAGATGGATGAAGGAAAAAAAAAAACAAAGCAAAACTAGAGAAAAATCTATAAAATAAAATCCATACTATTATAAGAAAACTTTTGCTTTCTATGATAACCGTATTATCTCTATCTTTCTTTTCTGTTGGAAGAAAATTACAAATTAAAAATTTGAATAAAATTACGACGAAAAAAAAAAGAAACATTAAAATAGCTTTTCAGTGTCCGTTGAGGTCTGGATTTGCTGCTGCCGTTAATCTGAAGTAAATAATGGCCCCAAACACTACCACAATAGGAATAGCCAATTTCATCCATGATGGATCAGCATAATTAGAAGCATCTCTAGTGTTTTTATTTTGCTTTGAACTTTCAATTAAAGGACGAGGCTAAATAAAACGTATAACTTAGTTTTTGAAATTATTTAATTATTTCTTACTGTAATTACTGATCGAACATCATCCTAAAAAAGATATTAAAATGAAATATTTTAATAAATATATAATAAATTAATTTACTTTATGAATTTCAGCTATTTCATATTTTTTCATTAGTTCACGTGCATCAGGACTGTGGCGAATATCTTCAAATTCCTGTGAAGCATCTTTACCATGCTGCTCTTTTAAAACTTCTTCACCACCTGGATGCTTTAAAAATAATAGTGTGACATTAAAAATTTTTCAAAAAACATGTTTTTAATAATAAACCTCATCAAGAAATTTTGTTACATCATATACTCGATTATTGATTATCAAAATACATCTACTTTTATCTTCAGCTAATTTTTGAACTTCACTTAAAGTGAGTACTTGTTTATCAGATTGGGTATCAACCATTCTTTTCTTGATGAGACACGCACGAGAATATTAGAAGAATATGAATATAATACCTAAAATGATGAAACTTAAAGTTGGTCAAAGGTCGAGATCAATTATTTTTCTTTTTTTTTCTTTCATTCGAAAGTTTTTACGAAATCGTATTATTTGCACCGGTATGTTTATCCAAGCCATGACGTGATCTTTCGATAGGGACAAACCAATCTTTAACCTTAGAAACGAAATTTTTTTTCTAAACATATTTATTTATATAAATTATAATTTTGAATTTTACCGTACAATTTTTAGTTGTAAATAAATACAAATATTCAAATGTGTCCAATAGATGTCACTTATCAATGGTAACATCTTGTTGCGAAGACACGTTGATATTTTTTTTAGCTCAGTATAAGAATATAGCTTTCAAATGCAATTGCTACTCAAATTAATGATGTACAACTGAAGTACACTAAGAAATAGTAGGGATCTGGAATACCGTACCTGTTGCATTTATTTGTTAGTCGGAATTTTTCAGTTCTGGCAGAGATCATCGAGAACTGGGTAGTACTGACCATTAGATACAATCATCGTACTCTTACCTTTCGAGTCCTTTTCATTTTTCTGACGTTTTCCAGTCGAAAACATTCTCTTATACGTCTAACTTGGACTAAAAACCTACGGAACCAGCCAACGGAATCACTAACTAGAGTACTGCACGGATACAGATACTCGATCTGTGGGCAATATTATTCTAACACACTGCTAATAATTTAATAAAACGACTAATTAATTATGTGATCAAGTATATTGTTGTTATACAGCATCCTTAAAAACACATATTTCCATATTTATTTTTGAATTGTACTCTTAAATATGAATTTGGGTTTCCACAAATCATTACTTTTCATGTCCGTACCTTACCACATTCTACTGTTATCCTTATCTTTGCTTTCCATTTTTGTGCCTGAGTACGAGTACTTGATCTGTGAATTGCAGTAATTTATCATTGACCAGGATAAATATGATTGTATTAAGAAAATTCTAATCAAATAACAGAATTTCATTTCTTTGAATAAATATCGAGATTAAAAGAACTTAAGATTCAAAGCTTTCCTGTCATAAGATGATACACTTTTAATTGTTAATTTAAATATGTTTTATTTGTTTGAACGTTTCTTGTCACTTAATTTATTTATAAAGGACAAAACTTCTTTGAGATGTTTTAATTTGACGTATGTTCTTGAAAGTTATCAGAAGTCTTATACTGTGAAGCATAATATGCATTCAAACATAAATTTCAAAGCAAACTCATTAGGCCATGTACACACTAGGCAAAAGTGAATTACGTAATGTGATTGGTTAATTCATACTTAAGTCGTCTTTTTGAGTTGACTTAAGTATGAATTAACCAATCACATTACTTAATTCAACCTTAAGTTAATTCACTTTTTCTAGTGTGTACATGGCCTTATACGTATGTAGATTATCTCAACCAATATTACGATTATACCGTATTCTTATTGGTCGTCGAGTTTCATTGCTCAGTATTAGTCTACTTAATTAATAATTTTCTCGAGAAAAAAAAATAGGGTGAAAAATCTGACTTCATGAGGCGGTTTGTCTTTTATCAAGCTACAATTTGATATTAAATAATCCTTCTGGAAAAGTGATCGAAGTATTTTAGAAATTAGCGCCACTAAGTGCATATGTGTATTCTCCATTTGATAATGATTTGATGTTTTTTCTCGCTTTGCTGGTATACTAATGGTTTTATTTCGATTAGTTTTATCATTATTATTTCGTTTTAATGCCGTGAACAAGCGCCATCGTTTTTCATAAATAGCCGAAAACAAAAAAAAATAATTTTGATAATTTCTGATAAGCATAGACGTGCCATCTATGAAATTTTTTTTTCAAAATAAACAAAATAATATTTAGTAGAAATTTTTATTCATATTTCACTAAATTTGAATATATATATAAATGTTAATATGTTCTTCATCTAGTGAATAAATCTTAAGGTTGGGAATTTGGAAATAACCACTAGAATACAAGGAGATTATTATATTATTATCAGTCAAAATAGAATTGATCTATTTCATTCATCAACACGAGAAAATCAAGAATAAAAATAATATTTTCGTTCTATATTAGACTACATGAGAAAATCTTTCTTGATTCTTCGAACAGTTTGATTAAAACAAATTCTCGATGAGAAACGGTACCATTGCATATAGAGATTTTGATCATTTATTAATTTAAATAAAAGATTGTTTTGTTATTTTGACTAACATATAGAATAAACATAGTTATTTTATTTTAAAAGAAAAGAGAATTTTTTATTTAAATAGAATACTCAAGTTATAGTGTAAACAAATTATTATTTTCTCTTTTATTTGTAGATAGAAATCCTTTATATCTAATAACAGTCACTTCTCAATATATCAAAATCATATGAATTTTAAGAGCAAAAACAAAAAGATAAAGTTTAATTTCTCATAGATTGATTATAGTTTGGTAGAAATTTCTTTCATCTGAGATATATTCTACTTCTATAATAGAACTAAGGAACAAATGTCACCTTCTAGACTATTGTGCTTAACGAACTACACTGACACAATCTTTATATTTATTTCCATCGATTAGAGTCCTGCAACGGGGTCGGGTACCCGGCACCCGACCGGACCCGAAACTGTGGTCCGGGTACAAATTTGCCGGGTCGGTTCGGGTGCCGGGTATAAAAAAAATGCCGGGTCGGGTGCAGAATTTGAGCATACCCGGTACCCGACCGATAGTCGATGACATCTTAACAAGTAAAAGTATTTTACACTCTAGGATAGAGTCCTGCAACGGGGCCGGATACCCGGCACCCGATCGGACCCGGAACTGTGGTCCGGGTACAAATTGTTACTTGATGAAATTAAAATAATAGTATATTTTGCCATATGAAATAAAAGTTTGAAAAGTGAATATAATTTTGACAATAACAATCAAGTGCTGACTATTTCAAGGCTGGGCCGGGTCCGGTCGGGTACCGGGTAGAGCTATCCGGGTCCGGTTCGGTTCCGGGTGGAAGATGACCGGGTCCGGTCGGATTCCGGGTTTGAAAAAAATGAGCCGGGCCGGGTCCGGGTGCGAAAAGTAGTACCCGTGCAGGACTCTACCATCGATACTCAAACATGTCAACATATATTTTATATTATCAATATGTATATACAAATAAATCCTATTAGTCATTATTCAAGATCTTATTTCAATAATTTAATGCCTTGATTACCATCATTTCAATATTATCAAATAGAACTCATCATTATCGAACTAATCAAATCGATGAAGTTTATCAGTTAGCTAAACGAAATTTTCGTTTTGTGGATGTTTACTTTATAGAGAAAACACAAAAAACTCTTATGTACAATTTATAGTTTACTCTTCATTTATTTAAACATTATTTCAAAATTTAGATGATCTTCAACTAGTTATCTTATTTTATTAGATTTAACAGTTAAATCGTTTGAACTTTTTTTTCTCAAGAACTTAATATTGAATAAATCTACATATGTTGAAATATTAATGCTCTTCATAAGGCAAACAAATGATTAAATAGACCTTTTTCATTCAGTCCAAACGTCTAATAAACATTTAACAAAAAACAAAATCAATTCTCGAAATCATTTATGAGAAAATGAATAGTCGAACAGTTTCGATTGAATAAAATATTTCAAATGAAGATTTCTCATTATTAAACTAAAACACATTGAGAAGATTTTGACTGATTAAACAAGTGAAAATAACCAGAAATAGATGTGCCCAGAAAGTTCTCATCTCCTAGTGGACACTCATAGTGATATATGATTAATATCATTGATAGATTAAAATATTATCAATGATGAGAATAGGTTTATCATCAAGTTGAATTATTTATATTTTAGTCTTTGTTTTATTCACCTTATGAAATTGTTTTATGAGCGAGTATTCAAACGTTGTTTTTTTCCTGGATTTGACTTTCGTGATATATTGAATTATGGAAACTTCTTTTATTCAATCGGCATAGCTATACTCAATGGAAATATGATTTCCATTAACATTACTTTTAAACTAATTCAAAGTAAACTTTATTGAAAGGGAAATCTATATTTAATAGATGAACAAATCTTAAATTTGTCTAGAATTGAATAATCATCTCTAAACTTTTCAAGATAATATAGAGTATAATCACTTGACACGAATTATTTCTTAATCTATTACCGAGTTAAATTAAGATTAATTGATCTTCATAGAAAACAAAATCAATATATTCGTCATTGATAACTTATAGAAATAAATTATCTAAGAGATTTTCACTCTTTATTCTCCTATCTATATATGGATATTAGATAACAGGATTCTATAGAAATTTTACCTAAAATAAAAGAAAAAATAAGCCAAATTAAATGTTTTAGAGAAACTCTGGATAAGAAATAACTGATCAACACATATTTAAAAAAAAAACAAGCTATCCATGTTGTAAAAGGGTTTGTATGGTATGATAAAAATTAATTGTTTATATAATTCTGATATAATTATTAGTATAAAGTACCTGTGAGAATCTTTCATGTGTGTTTTTTTCGATGCCATATATTATATAATGGGTTTGGTAGAAAGAAGTACTTGGCAGTTATCTTAACGAAAATCTGAGTATTATTCGATAAATGGAACTTGAAGTTTTTTGCTCTTATTGAAGAAAAAAATGGGTTAAAGTTATGGAATTGCAAAAGGTTTTTTCCTCATATTGGACAGTTGAAATGTTGTAATGGGCAGGATATAATTATATGTTCAATATAATTCATCAACAAAATTGATTACTGAACATTATTCAATAGATCATCGAAATTTTTCTTGCTTCGTTAGTTGAGATATAAACAAGATGAGAAGAATTTTTAAATAAAATCCTATAAGAACCTTCTCTATCTATGGAATAACCAACGTTAACTAAGAATAATCAAAGATTTGACAATGAACTAATCTTGTTCGGAACCTTTGTTTTACACATATAGAAATTTAATTGGATATTTTACCGTAAAAATATCAACTTTCCTCTAAGTCATCTGGCTAAAATAGAGTTTTGACTTAAAAATTATTTAATGTAGCAAGACTTGATCCCATGTTCATAGAGAATTTCAATTGAAATATTTATTTTTCATGTCCTATGAGTAAGACTAGAGATTTTTGTTTTGTTGAAAAAGAACGAAGGTTGAAAAAAGCAAAACCATTCTTAAACCTTTTCTATTACTGACCAAATCAACATAATCTCACTCGGAAAAAAATATATCGTTGTTTCAATTTGAATATTTGTTTGCTCTATTCTCATTTAAATGATCTTTTTTTTCAATTTCGAATTCATTTATCTCTTTCTATTTTCTTAGGATTTGTTGATGAAAACTGTTCATCATTTGAATTCTTCATTATTTATGCAATAGACTCAAGAATCAAAACTCGTTTAATATTATCTTTAATTATTTTTTTCATTTCGTTTCTATACTTTCACAATCTTATTATAAACTGATAAACAAATCTATATGTTTTGTTTTGTTTTGTTCAAAAGAGATAACTTTATATGTTATTATCCTTTATTTTAATCAATTATTAAAGACATACCATCGACGCTCAATAAAGCAATATCGAATGAAAGTATCTAAGAAACAAATTACGTATTCTATCTCATATAACGTTCGTTGTCAAATATGATCTTCAATGAACGTTGAAATATAAAAGATTTGTGTTAGCTGAAACATTCCTCTATTAGCAACAGCAGATCCGAAGACTTAAACAGAACTTATTCGATAAAGATCTCCGAAAAGTGAGACCTCTGAAAACCAGATTTCTGACTTCCATTCAAAGTTCATCGAGATGACAGAGACGCCTCATTTTGCTCTATTTAATTAAAATTATTCTCAAAACCTTTGAATAGATACGAGAAATCTCATTTTGAACGTCTTCATTCTCCAAAAAAATCGCATTCAAGTGGTTTTTTTGTTACTTCTGGATCTTTGAGATTCGTTACCCGTTATTACTATTATAAACAAACACTATAAATATAGTTGTTGGAAACTTTTATCTCCTACTATAAAGAGAATAAAATATTGTAGAAGGTGACTATTATTCAAGAGAATATCGTGGATATTCCTAGCAACGTCTCTCCTCTATCAAAGAGAGTGACACGATCGTACAATTAACAACTTCCTTATTACATTTCTCGAGCATGAAATAACAGAATTGTGAAAAAATCTCTTGCAAATTAGACTGAATAAAGCAATCTCCTTGTGATTAGTGACATCACCTTTATTATCAATTTTTTTATTTTAAGCAGTCATGACCGGTTTCGACCTTGCTTAAGGGTCTCATCAGATGACTTTTTATATTCGGACATGTATAACATGTACCTTTCTAT